CTGCAGCAACTCCATACATGGGTCGCCAGCTATGCCGACTGAGCTAACCGGGTGCCCTACATCCTCTTTTTATCATGTATGTATATATCATCATGGTTAAGGTCTACACGTAAATAAAGATGTGTAGACAAACCAGACAGACCTCCTTTTTAAAGGTCAAAGCCATTTTTAAATCTTCGTCTCAAGCGCTGAAGCTTCAAAGGGACACAAAAACAACCACAGACTCTAAAGATACACATCCTCTGTGGCCACATGGACACATACAGCTGCTAAAAGTGTTACTTGCACTTCTTAGCTACGATCGATCTTCACAGTGTGAGTTTAACTTTAACACCAAACTTCCCCTGCCTGTACTCGTCAGGTGCGTCAGAGATCGATCACTTTTGATCAGTGTTACGTTAGTTATAGTTGCAAAGACACCTATAGCTGCCTACTTGTTTTATGTCAGCACATCTGACATTTAAATATTAGTTCATGACATACATACATCAACAATGGCCTAATTTTATGCATGATCTAAGATGATAAAGATGCAGAAAAATAGAAATGCATGGCAATAATAGCATATTGTCAATATGTATTAGTATATTTATTCATTATTTATATTTTATTATTTTCACAAATTGCGTTTTTAGGAGAGCTTATGTCTTACAGCTTCCCCCTGCTTTTGATCGTTGAAGAGAAAAGTGTCAGGCACCCACCCGGTCTCGCCCGTATCTCCTCAGCAGCTTGTAGGGCCACACCAGGACTTTCTTCTTGGTCTTTGGATCCTTCAAGATTAAGATGTCATTCTCCGCTTTAAGCCAGTAGCTCCCTGTCAGCCCGCAGCGCTCCGACGCCTCGGTGCGCTGAACGCTCACCCAGAACTCGTTGACTGCAAGGAGAAGACAGGAGAGGTGTTTTTGCAGAGGTTAACTTAAATCCTCCTTAATTGCAGATGATATTCTGTGCTGGAATATTTTGTTGACTGTTTCGTGTCCTTACCCTCCTCTCTGGAGTAGTAGATGAGGTTTTCAGACATCTGCAGGTCCTGCACTCCACCATTAGAGTCTGCAGCAGTACTGGTGCCGCCTCCTCCCTGTGGGGACACACACACTGACAGTCAACTAGCTGAGAAAGACACCTAATTAGGAGACATAGCATGTTATACCCAAATATGCTTTTCGGTTTATGTGTTGTACTTTGGAAGGAGAAACCTAGAGAAACTGGGAGCTTTCCAGTATAAGCACTGGAAGGATAGAGTGAGAGAAGGGAAAGAGAAAACAAAATGAAGAGTTAGAGAGTGTACAACAGAGAACAAAGCGGATGAAGTCTTCCTCTTGGAAACTCCCTCTGGTTTCCTCTCTGCAAATATGTTTCATGTTCATGTTTGTGCATGTGTGTGTGTGTGTGCACAATAGAAACTGTGGCCTGCGTAGATACTCCAGGGGCATGTGGGAAATTTTGGAAAACTCATATACACACAAACAAAAAAGAATTATTCTGCAATCCCAGCAGAAAAAACTAAATTTAAAGCAGCAGTTCTTCAGCTTTTTTTATTTATTTATTTTATTTAAATATTTCCAGTCAGTTGGACAGTGAGCACAAAAAAAAAACATTTTGTAGATAGAACAAAGGACAGACACATTCAGAACACACACATAAAGGAAGTTGAAACACATCCAACCACATCTTAGTCACATTTCCTAAAGAGTGAATTGTGCAAAGATACCTGAAATGCAATGTCGCACATGGTATCCATCCAATCCTTGGCGGCGTTCTTCTCTGCAGCAAACACGTGCGTCTTGTCGTTGGTCTCCACACAGAACGCTGCCATATTGTCTTTGGGACAGCTCTCCGTCAGCGCCGGCAGGATGGAAATGCACTCAGACAGGCGGATGATCTTCTTGTCAAGCTTTCTGGTCTTCTCATTGGACCCGCTTCCAGAGCCTCCGCCAGCCCCACCCCCTCCGCCCGAGGGTGAGTCATAGAACTCCAGGCGGGCGATGCCGTTTTGGCTGGCGGGGTACAGGACGAACCAGTTCTTCTTCCATTTCTGATGAGTGGAAAAAGAGGAAAAGTTATAGAGAAATTTAAAACTGCACTAATCAACATGTTATATTAAAGTGACAAATGATCACGTGTGATGTGAAAGATGGCGCTCACAAGGACCACCCACAGATAAATATAAACAGACCCTGTTGTTTCCGTTAGATTTACTGAGTATTGTAGTGTCTTTCAGCTAATTGTTTTGGTTTCAGGTCCCGTTTTAGTTCAGAGCTCTAAAAAAAACCACACTGTGCAGACAACAGACAGACAAAGTTAGCGACTAGCTGGTGAACACAGTGGAACATTGAGCAGCAGAAGTATTTGCTCCAACAGCTGGAAATACATACAAGTCATCATTTACAACTCTGGAATCTCAGTTGGCTCTTTTTACACGTGACCACAAATGAGTCAAATAATATTTAGTCAGATAATATTTGTTTATTGTTACTAAAGTATGCAGCAGGTAGGTACTGAACTACAGTGACACAGTGTGAACACAGCCACACCGGGACACATTTACAAGTTTTGTCTACATATTTACTGATTACATTACATTTACTCATTTCATTTGCAAATCTGAATACACACACACGGCTTGAGATACAGTTACACGGCTCTCCACTCATATTTGTAAAAAGTTTTGCTACAATAAGAGCTCCTATATGACAGGCCATCAGTGAGAAGATTGGCTATTTTTATATAGCTATTCTTCATGCCTGCCACCCGCTTCGAGTCACCTCGCAATCTGAAATGAGGTGGTAAACACTTTTGCCCAGAGGGGCCGCCAGAATTAACACAAAAAGTGGCCTCATAGCTGCTTTAACTTTTAACACATTCAACAAGTTTTTTCCATTCGTGATCAAGAAAAATAGCTCAGGCCATTTCTACAATATCCAGTATATTATTAGAATTTGTAAGTAAGTAAATAATACTATTTCAAGTACATTATTTACAGTTTTGGTTTCTTTTGAACTTTTCCTCTGTTTTCTTTTTTTATCTGTTTCTTTTATTTGTATTACACATATATATATATTCTATATAACATTACACATTTTGTTCCAGAGATTAGTAAACCAGCATTTCATGTAAGAAGGCTGTTTCTGAATTAATGAGGCGAGGTTGGCAGAGGACGGTGGGAAAAAGGGCAGAAACAGAAAATCTGACTCTTCCTTTTTTGCAATGCACATCTGTCCTGTTCACATCTGTCTAAGGGAGGGAAGAACAATTTCCGTGTGGTTTGTACAGATAGCAATGGGGAAACGCAAAATGCAGAGTTGGCCACAAATAATCAGAAACGGACAAAGAGAGAAGTGGAGAACGTTAACATTTAAAGTCCACAAAGGCTGTGAGTCAAAACTGTATTTCCGGGTCTTTCTCTTACTTCTACTCTACTCTGCTGACTGAGGCTTAATGTGGGAGGCATGTGGTGATAAATCTAATGCAGTTTGACTCAGACATGTTGCGCGCACCATTCTTTCCTCTACTATCAATCAGCAGCAGTGGACCACAGTTACAGTATTAGTCACCATTGCTTTCAGAAAAAGAGCAAATCCCCCGAAAAATCTAAACAAGGTAGTGAACTGGGTTTTTTTTTTTATTTTTTTTTTTATAAATTAGTGAAAGTAAACCAGGACAAGATGTGCACCCAAAAGACCCACCCAGATACAACCACAAAATAATAGCACAATTACATTACATTACATTACATTACCTCATACTGTTAATCATTAGTTCCTGAACTTATTTTGGGTGTAGGTAGTCACTTTTTCATCATCATCGCAACTCTCTATCTATTTGCATATATCTACATCTATTTATTTTTTTGTTTTACTTAAATACTAGTTATCTGCTGTGAATAACCACATGTTTGTGGAGATTTTGTAAATGATAAGTAACGTAGAAAAGCAGGTAACATTTTAAAAGCTTCAGTAAATATCCTCTATGACTCTCAGGGTTACATGCTATCATATATTTCCCAGAATTAAATGACTCGGCCTATGTTTTAAGCTGCTTCAGAGTAATCCAATTGTGACATGTTGTGGATTATTTGTAGGTTTTAAAGTGTGCGATAGCCCCAAGCAGGTTAAAATTATAAATTGGTCCAAACTAGGTGGCAGGTGCATCGTCTCTCCGTGAGGACAGCAGGGAGGAAGCGACAGCTAACAATGATCTCTTCCTCCACAGGGACAAAAATGGACCTGACCAAACAATACGACATACTGAACAATAAGACGCACAGTGAGTGGGTAAGAATCCAGATGTTCAGTGCTAATAATGGACATGATGACACCATAGATGCAAGATTACGTGCAGTCACTCTAGAAACTAGTATATGTGTGATTATGGCAAAACTGCATGAGATAACAGAACTCAACACTTGATTGGGAAGTCCCTGTCGTCCCCTGTACCCTCTGGATGTGTGTGTGTGGCTACCCCACATCACGCTATGCCTCATCTCAGCAACATTTCTCCACAGAGTGTGTGTGTGTGTGTTTTCCCCTACATTCACTCAGCGCGTAGAGGAAACTGACTGACAGCCAGAGAGCTTAGCCTGTGACAGGAAGGTCAGCGGTTTGAAAATCCTTCAACCAGCGGGGAAAAAGAATGAGACACACTAAAACTACAGGTCCTCAAATGCTCCCTGACCAGTGAAATGTTCTTTTCCGCTGGTCAAATAATACGTAACAAGTAAATATTCTTCCGTGCATTTGAAAATTAGATGACCTACATTCAGTGTGTCCAGTGTAACGACAATTACGTCCCAATATGTGGCTTTGGAGGCGGATATCAGTATAGATAGTTGAGGGGTTCAAAAATATTTCATGGCTAAATGTTGCCCAATATCACTCATTATTCACTGTATTATACCTACTGTGACATGTCAAAATAGCTGATGTGGAAAGGCCTATAAACTTTACAATAGTACATGTAATGATGATTTTAAATTGAATTGGACATTCAATTATTATATGTATAGTAATTATAGATAAAACAAAAATATTCCAGTCTTGAAATGCATAGAAATACAGCTTATAAAAGATGTATTGTGATTTCTATCTGCATATCTAACAATTACACGAAAGAAGAATACAGAAAAAACATTCTGATAAATGAGAATGATGCACTGTTATATCGTATATTATGGATTATCGTTGCTAATGCATTTCTTTAGAAGTAGCATTTTACTGTTGTAGCTGGTTAAGGCTCACTTTATATACTGTTGGGTAGATTAATCTATAACAACTTGATATCATATTTTAGATATTCACCATATGTTTTGTATGTAAAAGTCTAACAGTAACAATAACTGACAAATAAATCTAGTGGAGTAAAAGCAGAATAATTCCTAATTATAATTCTAATATAAAGTAGAATACAATCCAGATACTTAACTCCAGTTTAAATATCTCAAAATCCACAGCCCTATCATTCACAGCATGAAAATAAGAGACATGCGAGTCAGTCTAACACAAGGCGTAACTATAGTATTTGCATGATGGGCCCGATATAGCTGCAGCCCCAGCATCTATACGCTGCACAGTCAAATAAATTGTAAACATCAGTTATTTAAAAACAGAAGAGACCAGAGGTGCATGCATACATGAAAGCTAACTTCATCTATTTCTATCGCGCCAGGTTTCAAAAGTCAACACATGCACGCCCCCTTCTAACCCGTTACAATTAACTGCCAGAAAGGACAGGAAATGTGTGGGACTGTTATTACCCAGGATTCTCTTTGCTTCCTTCTTCTGCATCCAGGTGTGTCTCAGTATACGTACATGTGTATGTGCAGCTGTTTTTGTTGTTTTTATGATTCCCTTGGTGCATTGTGGATCATCTGATGCTGTGCACAAGTGCATGCGTACTCACACACACACACACACACACACAGAACGTTCTTATTGTTTAGTCCATACAAACATGAAATTGTGCAGTATATGTGAACAGGGTGTGAAACTTAAACCCCTGTTGCAATATGTTCTTTAGACGTGTGTGTGTGTGTATGTGTGTGTGAGAAACAGCTGCTCCATATAAGGCAACAAACCGTTATCAGCCAATAATAGACTGAGTGGAAATTATGCAAAAGGATCATGACAGAGCGAGCCAGAGAAACTTCCTCACCAATGTCCTGCCTGTTTCACGAGAAAAGATTAACTTGTACATGGCTGTCTTTTGTAGGCCTTGCACATAAATCTGTCAGTTTAGTACATTATTCAGTGTAGTCAGTGATTACAATAGCTGTCTGTGTGTTTTTGAAACAACAGAAGAATAAAATCATCCTCTCAGGATGCCAACAGATTTTTCTGTATCAATCACTAGTTTTTTAGAAGATCTAGTGGGCTTGGGAAGGTGCTTTTGTTCTTCCTGTCATTCAACATTGAAGGTGACATAGTGGCGAATTTCATTTTTTATAAACAACAAAGACAATTTTAATGCTGTGTCTTCAGTGTTAATGTGTTCATTTGTTTATGCATTTTCCTTTTTCACACATTTTCCTTTATATAATTTTGAGATACTGTTGTAGATGCTGTTGTAGATACTGTTGCTGCATTTAACAACAGTAATTCTATTTTTTAGAATTTGAGTTTTCAATTGAACACATTACTAAAACTATATTTTACAGCATGTTTGGCTCTCAAAATAAATTATTGCTTTAAAAGAAAGTGTGACTTTACCCTTCAAAGGGTAGTTGTAGGGACTGAAATCACTCCATTACCTGTACTTTTAATATCATAAAATGATCACAACATGTATGTGTGTGTTTGCATACAAGCAGACTGATCCACTGTCTGATGGATGGATACAGGAATCCACCACCGTCACCGCTCAAACACAGGATCCTCTCTTTCCCTCATGTTGCCTTTCAACTAAACCACTCGACCATGTTCCACCGGCCACAGACAGACCTCAATGACATGCAGGAGAAGTGTGTGTTTGGTTATCTGCGTGTGTGTAAAGAGAGTAAAAGTGTGTTTGTGTATCGGAGCGTGTCTGTCCTCTGTAATG